ACCCAAATCATTTGGGTTCCTCGATCCTTTCACAGCATTATAAGGCTGCGTTGAGACAATGACTTATCAATGACCAGCTCATTTAATCCCTACCATTGTGTTGTCGAGTTGTCATAATGCTTCAGGAAATGTACATTATCCCAGGGGCGTTGGAAGACACAATGTAAGTAACCTAATTTATGTCCCTCTTACTGCCCTGAATGCCTCTGCTGATCCTACAGCTATTGGATGCAGTAATCATGTGCCTATGAACCAGAGTTATACTGTTAGCACTGAGGCGGTGTGCCCTAGCAGGAAGTCCACTGTGTGCAGCTCACCCTGCACTAATAAAAATAACCAGAGTATGTCTACCTCTGCTAAGCTTTCCAGTAAAGCAAGAAAAACAATAAAGCATCCCAGAAAAGTGTTAAAAATAGCCCACGTTAACATATGTAGCTTAAGAAACAAGGTTCATTAAATCAATAATTTGCTAGTAACAGATGACATTCATATTCTGACTATCTCTGAAACTCACTTAGATAAAACATTTGATGATACAGTGGTAGCAATACAAGGTTATAACATTTACAGAAAATACAGAAATGGCAAAGGTGGGTGGGGGTGTGGCTGTTTATATTCAGAACCAGATTCCTGTAAAGCTTAGAGAGGATCTCATGTTAAATACTGTTGAAGTAATATGGCTACAGGTTCATCTGCCTCACCTAAAGCCCATTCCTGTGGTCCTCTGTAGCTCAGCTGGTAGAGCACGGCGCTTGTAACGCCAGGGTAGTGGGTTCGATCCCCGGGACCACCCATACGTAAAGATGTATGCACACATGACTGTAAGTCGCTTTGGATAAAAGCGTCTGCTAAATGGCATATTATTTATTTATTATTTAAGCTGCTATAGACCAAGTGCTAACATTTAAGTAAAGCCTATTCCCCCTCAGGAGACTAAAAAGATTTGGCATGGGTCCTCAGATCCTCAAAAAATTCTACAGCTGCACCATCGAGAGCATCCTGACTGGTTGCATCACCGCCTGGTATGGCAACTGCTTGGCCTCTGACCGCAAGGCACTACAGAGGGTAGTGCGTACGGCCCAGTACATCACTGGGGCAAAGCTCCCTGCTATTCAGGACCTCTATACCAGGCGGTTGTCAGAGGAAGGCCCTCAAAATTGTCAAAGACTCCAGCCACCCTAGTCATAGACTGTTCTCTCTGCTACCGCACGGCAAGCGGTACCGGAGTGCCAAGTCTAGGTCCAAAAGACTTCTCAACAGCTTCTACCCCCAAGCCATAAGACTCCTGAACAGCTAATCATGGCTACCCGGACTATTTGCACTGCCCCCCCACCCCATCCTTTTTACGCTGCTGCTACTCTGTTAAGTATTTATGCATAGTCACTTTAACTCTACCCACATGTACATATTACCTCAACTACCTCAACTAGCCGGTGCCCCCCGCACATTGACTCTGCAACGGTACCCCCCTGTATATATAGCCTCCCTACTGTCACTTTATTTTACTGTATATATAGCCTCCCTACTGTCACTTTATTTACTTCTGCTCTTTTTTTCTCAACACTTTTTTTGTTGTTGTTTTATTCTTACTTTTTTTGTTTAAAATAAATGCACTGTTGGTTAAGGGCTGTAAGTAAGCATTTCACTGTAATGTCTGCACCTGTTGTATTCGGCGCATGTGGCCAATAAAATTTGATTTGATTTGATTTGATTAAGTATCTGGATAACATGCGTGAAATGCTTGATAATGTATGTGATGTCAACAGAGAGGTATATTTTCTGGGTGATTTAAATATTGCCTGGCTTTCATCAGGCTTCCCACTCAAGAGAAAGCTTCAAACTGTAACTAGTGCCTGCAACCTGGTTCAGGTTATCAGTCAACCTACCAGGGTAGTTACAAACAGTACAGGAATTAAATAATCAACATGTATTGATCATATCTTTACTAATGTTGCAGAAATTTGTTTGAAAGCAGTATCCAGATCCATCGGATGTAGTGATCACAATATAGTAGCCATATCTAGGAAAACCAAAGTTCCAAAGGCTGGGCCTTATATAGTGTATAAGAGGTCATACAATACGTTTTGTAGTGATTCCTATGTTGTTGATGTAAAGAATATTTGTTGGTCCGTGGTGTGTAATGAGGAGCAAACAGACGTTGCCCTTGACACATTTATGAAATTGCTTATTCCAGTTACTAATAAGTATGCACCCATTAAGAAAATGACTATAGAAACTGTTAAATCCCTGTGGATTGATGAGGAATTGAAAAATGGTATGGTTGAGAGGGATGAGGCAAAAGGAATGGCAAATAAGTCTGGCTGTACAACCAATTGGCAAACGTACTGCAAATTGAGAAATAATGTGACTAAACTGAATAAAAAGAAGAAGAAACTACACTATGAAACAAAGATAAATGACATAAAGAATGATAGTAAAAAGCTTTGGAGCAGCTTAAATGACATTTTGGGCAAAAAGGTGAATCAGAAATGACAAATGATATTGCCAACTACTTTAATGATTTTTTTCATTGGCAAGATTAGCAATTTTAGGCATGACATGCCATCAACAATTACTGACACTACACATCCAAGTATATCTGACCAAATTATGAAAGACAAGCGTTGTAATTTTGAATTCCGTAAAGTGAGTGTGGAAGAAGTTAAAGAATTATTGTTGTCCATCAACAATGACAAGCCACCGGGGTCTGACAACTTGGATGGAAAATTACTGAGGATAATAGTAGATATTATTATGATATTACCACTCCTATTGGCCATATCTAAGGATAGTAAAGCCCCCTTTATTGGCTCATATAGCCGACCAATCAGCCTGTTACCAACCCTTAGTAAACTATTGGAAAGAATTGTGTTTGACCAGATACAATGCTATTTTACAGTAAACAAATTGACAACAAACTTTCAGCATGATTATAGAGAAGGACATTCAACAAGCACAGCACTTACACAAATGACTGATGATTGGCTGAGAGAAATTGATGATAAAAAGATTGTGGGGGCTGTTTTGTTAGACTTCAGTGTGGCTTTTGACATTATCGATCATAGTCTGCTGCTGGACAAACGTATGTGTTATGGCTTTACACCCCCTGCTATAATGTGGATGAAGAGTTACCTGTCTAACAGAACACAGAGGGTGTTCTTTAATGGAAGCCTCTCCAAGCCTCTCCAACAAAATCCAGGTAGAACCAGTGTGTCTATGTATGCGGATGACTCAACACTATACACGTCAGCTACTACAGCGACTGCATGGAGTAACCTTGGATTGTAAACTGTCATGGTCAAAACATATTGATACAACAGTAGCTAGGATGGGGAGAAGTCTGTCCATAATAAAGCACTGCTCTGCCTTCTTAACAGCACTATCAACAAGGCAGGTCCTACAGGCTCTAGTTTTGTCACACCTGGACTACTGTTCAGTCGTGTGGTCAGGTGCCACAAAGAGGGACTTATTTGCAATTGGCTCAGAACAGGGCAGCACGGCTGGCCCTTGGACGTACACAGAGAGCTAACATTAATAATATGCATGTCAATCTCTCCTGGCTCAAAGTGGAGGAGAGATGGACTTCATCACTACTTGTATTTGTGAGAGGTATTGACATGTTGAATGCACCGAGCTGTCTGTTTGAACTCCTGGCACACAGCTCAGACACCCATGCATACCCCACAAGACATGCCACCAGAGGTCTCTTCACAGTCCCCAAGTCCAGAACAGACTATGGGAGGTGCACAGTACTACATAGAGCCATGACTACATGGAACTCTATTCCACATCAAGTAACTCATGACAGCAGTAAAATTAGATTTTAAAAACATAAAAATACACCTTATGGAACAGCGGGGACTGTGAAGCAACACAAACATAGGCACAGACACATGCATACAAATACTTACACATGGATTTTGTGTTATAGATATGTGGTAGTGGAGTAGGGGCCTGAGGGCACACACTTATGTTGTTATTATTATTAATCTGTTGTGAATGTATTGTAATGTTTTTAAAAATGTATAACTGCCTTATTTTTGCTGGACCCCAGGAAGAGTAGCTGCCAGCTTGGCAGGAACTAATGGGGATCCATAATAAATACAAATACCTGTCCATTCTGCAACAATCATTATTGATGTTGGCCTACATGTACTTCTGATGAGTAGACCTGTCCATTCTTAAACAATCATTCCAACCAATTTGGAAATGTGTTTACTTCTGAAAAGTCTGATTAAATGTCTGTTGTTTGACAGTAAGTAATCGTTAGAGACGTTTGAGTGCATAACCCATGCACGCCAATTGCTTTCTAATTGGACAACATAGCCAATAACACACGCACGCCATTCAGCCTGGAGCGAGAGCGCGCAGTCTGGGTGGATTTATCGGTCATTGCTAAAATAGATCCTTGGGACGTTCCCTACCCTAAACCCTATCCTTAACCCCTACCCTAACCTTAACCCCTACCATTTTAAATGTCAATTTCAAATGGGGGACGTTCCAAGGATCCCAGATAGCAGGCCTACCTTACCTATTCTTGTCCTCCTGTCCCTTCCCTCCCTCCCACTGCTCCCAGTTTCAGCTCTAATCCCATTTGCCATTGTAGCCTACATGCCCAATCGCCCAGGACTGCGCGCATTTAACAGTTTTATTCCATCGTTAGTAGAATCCGTTGCAGGTCTGACGTATTGATCATTTTGCCATTTATTATTGCTGCGATCATCACAGGATAGACCTGCATGCAGATTTATGCTACATTTTACATTTACATTTGAGTCATTTAGCAGACGCTCTTATCCAGAACGACTTACAGTAGTGAGTGCATACATTTTCGCACATTTTCCGATTTTTTGAATTTATTGTCAAAGCATCCTAACAGTCACAAAATAGGCCTATATTTCACTGAAACGCCACGCTTGGGTAACCGGAATAAACCAACAATATCTTCAACTATTTCTCTTTACGGTTTTTTTGCTGTGAGTCATTCAAATTCACCAGCGATGGCAGAGACTGCACAGGAGACCCGTCCGCCCGCTAAAGACTCACCTTTCTCTATCAAGAACCTGCTCAACTTCGACAGTAAACCTTCCAAACCAAAGACGCTGCTTGCCACCTCCAAAGGACTATTGGAAGGAGGCTTCTCTCTCTCCCGGATCGGTGATTTAACTTTTCCTAGTTTTGACATCCCAGCCCAGAGATTTGGATTATCGGCGCACTATTTGGAACGAACGTCGGCGTGGTGGTGTCCCTATACGTTTGGCACGTCGCGACACCATCTATACAGGACTGGAGGTAGATTCATAGCATACATTCGGTTCTGTTTATACATTTTGCACATCAGAATACCTCAAATAATGTTTTGTTAAAACGGATTAAATAAGGCTACGTAATATTTTCTAATAAATTAGGCTGCTATAATACTTGCTATTTGCAATACTCATCAGTTGGAATAATATTCAGACTAATGATGAGTAAATGTACAGGTGAACTGTGTCTCGGATCCTTATGGGAACATTTACTTGAATGACTATAATCTAAATTATAAATATAATGGTTATGTTTATTTTATGGGTGCATTAATGTTTTAAATGAATGATAAACATGTTCGTTTATTTCGTTTAGGGTCTGAGAAGGCCATCGCGAGAGAGACACCATCCCCAGCCTCACCGGGAGGGGACCGAGACACACCGGAGCTGCTGCGAAGATCACCCGACCCACACGTCAAAGGGGACGACGAAAACAAAAGTACTGATGATATCGTTATGGAGGAGAGTGATGGGGATGAACCAAAGAAGGAAGCAGAGTTGGTGGATGACTGGAGGAAAATTCAAGACGACAACTCGGATAAAAAAACGTGTCGGAAAAAGAAAACGCGCACAGTCTTTTCAAGGAGTCAGGTATTTCGGTTGGAGTCGACGTTCGATATGAAACGGTACCTCAGTAGCTCGGAGCGGGCAGGCCTGGCGGCATCCCTACACCTCACCGAGACCCAGGTGAAAATCTGGTTCCAGAACAGGAGGAATAAGTGGAAACGACAGTTGGCGGCGGAACTCGAAGCGGCCAATCTGAGCCACGCCGCAGCGCAGAGGATAGTCCGCGTGCCCGTATTGTACCACGAGAACCCGGGCTCGGAAACCGGGAGCGCAGGGAACGGGCCAGTCAGCCAGTCTCTACTAACGTTTCCCCATCAAATGTACTATTCACATCCCCTAGTCACATCCGTGCCGCTGCTGAGACCAGTTTGAGAGACTCATTTCTTGTGTTAATATTTCTCACTGTATTGTAACCTATGTATAAGAAACATATTAGGCCTATTTCTGAAAATGTATGAAAATAGTTGGCGTTGGAAAGGTAAAAAGGCTTTGTATATTGTACAGGTCTGTTATGACGTTGTATTATTTTTATTATTATTATTATTATTATTATGATTATTTATTATGATTATGATTATGATTATGATTATGATTATTATTATTATTATAGGGCGGCAGGTAGCTTAGTGGGTAAGAGCGTTGTGCCAGTAACCGAAAGGTCGCTGGTTCTAATCCCCGAGCCGACTAGGTGAAAAATCTGTCGATGTGCCCTTAAGCAAGGCACTTAACCCTAATTGCTCATGTAAATCGCTCTGGATAAGAGCCTCTGCTAAAATGTACAATTATTTATTATTATCATTATTATGTGTCCAAGACAAATATTTCCTCCTATTCAAATTAATTCAAATTAAATTGTTGTGCGTCCAATGTAATCTTAACATTTCCCTTTTGGTATTGATATTGCTTTGATTTAACTGATGGTTCTATATGTTGGAAACATATAGGCCTTTGTCTCCGTGTAGCCTAAGTCATTTCACCATGAAGCAGGTTATAATAAGACAACTTGCATCGATGTTTTTGTATGTGACATGATTTGTTATAAGTAAAGTCAATATTTCATAATGTATAGCTATTAGGTGTAATAGTTATACTGTTCGCTTCACGTGCACGGTATATGGCTCAGCTGAAAAAAATAACTACTACTTTGATCTACATCGTCATAGCGCGAGATGAGGACAATCATATGTTCTTATTTATGGAAACCCATAGGCTATACGTCTCATAATGTTATCGCAGACTTTTACTTGCTGTCAATGAGAAATGTAATTTTTTAAATCCCTGAGTTTTTTTTTTTTTTTTTACATTGCTGAATAAATCGTGAAATACCTTCCCGACTACACCGAGTGTATTTAGAAACATGCATACATGTTTTCATCTATACCTTTATAAAACGTGGGACTTACACGTTGGATGTATGTTTGCTATCACATACAGTATGTTCAGTCCTTGCATTAGATTCATTTTAGGGTTCAACATAGTGCTCCTTTGGGAAAACATTTTATATTTCATTCATTTAACGAGGATAGCGCATAACATAAAAAAAGAAGAAGAAGGGATTTGGAATTCATCAAGACAATTTTGAAGGCTTTAACTTACAGACACCAAAAGCATAGCACGCATTTAACGAATAAAAAATAATAGAATGGATTTTTAGCTAATTATATTTCTCTATTTTCAGTGGATGACTCATCCCAGAGATATCATCCCACTGGGCACATACGTCAATTCAACGTCTATTCCATGTTGGTTCAACGTAATTTCGTTGAACTGGCGTGGAAACAACGTTGATTCAGCCAGTGTGTGCCCAGTGGGATATGACTCTGGACAAAACAATAAATGATGTCAACACATATTTCAATAATTTCTTGAATTTGGCCAGATATAGATAGGCCTAAAGATTAAGAGATGTCTTCACAAAATAAATTCCATTTAATTTATTCCGGTATTTTCAAGAACGGAATGGTGAAATCTCCAAAGGCCAAAGCCCAATTTTTCACACAGAAACTAGGCCTACCATTTTTGGGAAAATCACATGGCACTTTTCGAATCTGTCTGAGAGGATGAAGGCTTGGTCTCATATCTCTGTAAGGAATAAGCACAACGAAATCAGCTCACTAATTTGTAACAAACAATAATTGACCTCCAATTAGTGGCTATAATACAGCACCAAATGGTGGCAATTAAAATATAACTATATGGCTACAACATACGATCTTGAAGGAATATTGACTGTGGAACTTTGGGCAAACGTCAGGTGTGCATAGCATACTGCAGACCGAGTTGGGGTTGGGGAGGCCTTTGGTGCGTGTGTCTCTCTCCAACACGGTTTAAAATGACCGGGTCTCTTCCCAGTTTGTGATTGGTCCATGAGAATCCTACCTACATGCAAACAAAGCAACTGAACGTCGTATGGGAGTGATGGTACTCAGGGAATTCAGACATAACTTTGCAGAAGGAGAACAAACCCGCTTCTCAAAATACCCAAAGGGGTTCACATTTATTGCCTGAAGTAAAAAGGTTCTAAATGTTTATCAGAATGAAGAAATCTGGAGACAGTGGCAGTAAAGTATCATTTACCTCAGTTTCCAATTTTACTATTCAGTCAATTCTTGGAACTGGGTCCGAGGACGCGCACAAGGACAGTTCTGATTCTAGTTCCAGCGCGGCGCTGCTGCAGAGACAACGCATGCGCTCAGTGTCTTCAGAAGGCTTCAGCGGTGGGGAGGATTCTACAGACTTCTATCCTTTACCCGGAGTAAAGAAACCATGCAATGACCTCAACGATCTCACACTTCCTTGCCTAAGTAAGTGAAAATGCTTTTGTAAAATGTGTTGTTTTATTGGTAGCCTACTTTATAGTTATTCTGATAACAATAACAATATCACATTATTATTATTATAATAAACATATAACCTATTATTATTTCTATTGAGTTATAAGATATTATTATGATGAAGAATGATCGGCTACAGCATTGGTTTTATTTGCTTGCTTATTAGAAGTCTATTCGAGATCTTTCGGCTACTGATAAAAATATGATTTTAAACTGCTTGATGGAGAGAAAAAAGTTACTTGGTTGATTTTAAATTATGCTGTGTTTTTAACACAATAACAAGATAGCCAAGTTTTTTATTTTTTTTTATAAACATTTGGATTGATTACCTTGTTTGCACTATTTTAGGTGACAAAAACAAACTAATTCTGGGGCAAGAGAAGGTGAAGAGACATAAACTTTGTCATGATTATAAAGAAGTGACGAGAGATACTACTACCAAACATCACCTGCTATTTCAGAAGAAAAGGGTCATATTGACGACGACAAAACATCCAACTCATCCAGAAAGAAGTCTCGGACCGTATTCTCACGGAGTCAGGTTTACCAACTAGAATCGACGTTTGACATGAAACGTTACCTTAGCAGTACAGAACGAGCTAGTCTCTCCTCCAGTCTCCAGCTGACAGATATACAGGTGAAAACTTGGTTCCAGAATCGGAGGAACAAGTGGAAACGTCTGCTTTCTGCGGAGATAGAGGCGGTGAACATGGCTCATGCGTCATCCGCACAAACTCTGGTTGGGATGCCGTTCTTCTTCAAAGAGAATTTCCAGCTACGGATTCCTGTCCCTGGATCAATGACTTTCCCTACACCTCTATATTATCCCGGGAGCAACATGCAAGCTTTACCTTTGTACAATTTTTATAATAAAATTGAATAGAATGATTGCCAGATAGCCTTTTGTAGTCTAATTCATTCAATTACAAACTATTTCTATTGCCATTATTAGGCTATGCCATAGGCCTAACTACTTCATTACAACACACCCGATCATAAATAACCTTACGAAAAACGTGTACATATCCTTCCACTACCTTCCAGTGTTTTTACTTCTCTACACTGTACACTGTACACTGTAAGTCGCTCTGGTTTAGAGCGTCTGCTAAATGACTAAAATGTAAAATGTAAAATGTACACTCTTAGAAAAAAACCTTCTGGATCGAACCAAAAAGGGTTCTATTGCTTGCTTCATTTACTGTATGGCACACCCCCAGGGGTTCTTCTTAACTGAACCAAAATTGGTTCCATATAGAACCCTATATGGAACCAATTTCTGTTCTTTATATAACCTTAAGGGGTGCCATATATGAAGCAAGCAATAGAACCCTTTTTGGTTCTATCCAGAACCTGCTTTTCTAAGAGCGTAGCCTAAAATAAGGCTATAGCGGTAGGTCACGTCATTCAGTCCTGTCCTATCATGAAACAATACCGTTTTTATGAGCTGCAAATTTCATAACTAAAGTCGCAACTTGAGAAAATTTTACATTGCTGAAAATGTGTGTGTGTGTAACCACGTTTCAATCCAACCATTTCATGCTGGATGATATACTTGTCAAAAAATGTCATGACCAGACTGATGCAAACATGAAATGCCGGTACAATTTTATAAATGCCGACAGAAAATGTGTTCATTCGACATGGTGGGATCTTTTTGTATCGGTAAAATTAATTATGCGAGAAATGGCGGTGGAAACGCCTTTAAGCGCAAATATTGATATAATAACCATTATATCTAAGTAAACTTGGAGTCACGCGATATGTTGTGTGGTCCTCCCACTGTGACTCAGGAAAACATGCAGATTAAATAAATGATAATGAACTTCACAGGATGGTGAATGTGCAAGGTGATGAGCTTGATGCTCCTTTCCAATAAATATCATCACGCACAGCCTTTTATCCGCAAAAAAAGTCAGTTTGATGGAAACACATCTCTGGTGGGAAAATGCGCATATAGTTCGTTTTCAATAAAACGCCACAATACGTTCGATTTGGCTGCTGGGGGGGGGGGCAAGGAGACCTCCAGCTCCGGTAAAATCATTGACAACTACGTGCCATTTTCAAGGGATTGTGAAATACATGTTATAATGGGCGGCAGGTAGTTTAGTGGTTAAGAGCGTTGTGCCAGTAACCGAAATGTCGCTGGTTCTAATCCCCGAGCCGACTAGGTGAAAAATCTGTCGATGTGCCCTTGAGCAAGGCACTTAACCCTAATTGCTCCTGTAAATCGCTCTGGATAAGAGCGTCTGCTAAATGACAAATAAAAAATAACTATTTGGTTTTCATATCATCACCTATTGAGGATAGTCAGAACTGCACACTTACGATTATTCCATGCAAAACAATTGCGCACATTTAGCTCTATCATACAGCAAGTAACTGCATGCTTTTCAGTCACTTTAACTCTACCCACATGTACATATTACTTCAACTACCTCAACTAGCCGGTGCCCCCGCACATTGACTCTGCACCGGTACCCCCCTGTATATATAGCCTCCCTACTGTTATTTTATTTTACTTCTGCTCTTTTTTTTCTCAACACTTTTTTTGTTGTTGTTTATTTTTACTTTTTTTGTTAAAAATAAATGCACTGTTGGTTAAGGGCTGTAAGTAAGCATTTCACTGTAATGTCTGCACCTGTTGTTTTCGGCGCATGTGACCAATAAAATTTGATTTGATTTGATTTGATTTTCGGTCCTCTGTAGAGCACGGCGCTTGTAACGCCAGGGTAGTGGGTTCGATCCCCGGGACCACCCATACAAAAATGTATGCACGCATGACTGTAAGTCGCTTTGGATAAAAGCGTCTGCTAAATGGCTTATTATTATTATTATTATTAAATATCAATGATCATGTAATTTCAGATACGTGAAGGCACCTGTCCATTTGTAGTTAGCAAACAGCATCATTTAGTTTGCTTCATCAGAGATTAGGCTTGACATCGGCAATTCCTCGTCCTGGTAAAGTTGTCGGACTACTGTCATCACCACTATAGATGGCAAGCAAATCAAACAATATTTGGGATATAGCCATCTAGTTTATCCCCTGAAAGTTAGCTTGTTAACTAGCCATATTGACGTGATCTGTTATTAGCTAGCTAGCCAATTTCACGTGGTCCATCAATCAATTGATGTAGCCTATGTCTGTCAGCAGCAATCGTAATTAAACACTCTTAAAAACAATATAGAAAAGGAGATCATGTTAGCTAACTTCGCTAGGTAGGCCTAGATTGGTTGGAGAAAAAAAGTACATTAGGTCTACTTACCACTATATATTTAGCCAACTGTACAACGTTTCTGCAAAGTAAACATAATCAGCTATTATGTACCGGTAGAAACGTAGTACCAGGGCAAATGCGCCCTTCTGCTGCATTATCAAATGGCCACCCGGACTATTTACATTGACTACCTGAACCCCCGCACATTGACTCGGTACCGGTACCCCCTGTATATAGCCTTGTTATTGTTATTTTATTGTGTTACTTTTACTTTACTTTATTTAGTAAATATTGTCTTACCTCTATTTCTTGAACTGCATTATTGGTTAAGGGCTTGTAAGTAAGCATTTCACGGTAAGGTCTACACCTGTTGTATTCGGCGCATGTGACAAATAACATTGATTTGATAAGCAGAGCCCACAAAAGATGGGAAATTAACCTAAACCACTCATACTTGTCAGGTATAGTTCACTTTTATTTTATATCACTCAAATATCAAATGAATGGTGGCCAATATTGAGAGATATCGTGAGGCTACCCTACGTATCTGAAATCACATGATTATTGATGTTTACTGATCGTGAAAAGCATGCAGTTACTTGCTGTATAACTCTAACGATAGAGCTAAATTTGCGCGATTGTTTTGTATGGAATAATCGGAAACGTGTTGGTCTGACTATGCTCTTCAAGAGCTGATGACATTACAACCAAAACAGTTAACATTTATTTAACAATCCCTTAAAAACCGCACGCATTTGTCAAGGATTTTAGCGACCGTCAATGAATTGTGTCCCATATCACATGACCCATGGACTCTACAACGGAAGAGGAGTTTCAAAGAATCACGAGTCAATGAATTGTGTCCCATATCACATGACCCATGTACTCTACAACGGAAGAGGAGTTTCAAAGAATCACGAGCCAGGCGGGAAAGTTGGTTATTCGTTCTGACCAATCAAATCCACTCTTGTAAAGTTAGTTATTCGTTCTGACCAATCAAATCCACTCTTGTAGCAACGCTGCGGAGCGTCGGTGGAGAGGGACGAGGAAGCGAACATATTAGTCTATAAGATAAACAACGAGTTATTTGTCCAATTTTATACTCAAGGAGGTACTTCAGCGCAAACCAAGAACGGTGAGTTAAAAAAAAAATCTAATTGATTGACAAAACAATCTAGCTAACGCATTATCAATCTATTGCTAGCCTTAGCTTGCAAACTGCTAGCTAGCCAGCCAACCGGCGGGAGTTGACATGCTATCATCCACGCTTGCTAGTTAGCTAACATTAGTAGCTAACGTTAGCCAATGATACCCGATAGAAAAAAGCTGATTTTCAGCAAAGTAGTTAACGTTAGCCAATGTGCAAGTGTGCCATGTAGTTGAGACCAAGTTGGCTAGTTACTGCGGATCAGCTAGCTAGCCAGTTACGTAAATTAGCTAGCTAATCACATTAGCTAGCCTACCTACCCAACTACCTTGCTAACTTGCTAGTTTTTCAGCACACCCAATTTAATGTTCTTGAATTTTCAGGACAGTAACGTTATCGTGTATCAAACTTTACAGGTCATGTTGGCTGGTTGGTTTGTTTATTTCGCCAACAATAATTATGGCAGCTTAGTTAGTTAGCTAAGCGTCATACCTGGCCATGTTATGGGTTTCAAGAGATACGTCACCGGCTTTCTCCATCTTCTTCAGGGGTGAACTACCCTGCTGGAAAGCTCCCTACCCTCCTACAGAATCCCAGTATGACCTAATAGCCGTGGCATCTGTTCTGTCCCTACAGATGACTGGTTCGAACGAGTACAAACTGAACCAGGGCCCGGAGGACAGCATCTCTGCTGTGAAGTTCAGCCCCAGTACAGGCCAGTTCCTTCTAGTGTCCTCTTGGGACTGTACTGTCCGGCTCTACGATGTGGGAGGCAACTCCATGAGGATCAAGTATTCACACCTGGCACCTGTGCTGGATTGTGCTTTCTATGTAAGCAAGTTTTTGTTTGTCATAAGCATTCCATAGCAATCAGTTGCTCAATTTTTTAAATGCAGAGTTGTCTACTTTTGCCAAACACACACACCGTAAGAAGAAGAAACACGACAATTGTGTTAAAGTAAATTCTCAACAAACAAGGTAGAGTTTAGTCAAATGGTGTGTGTCCCCCCTGGTCAAGGAATAGGTTTGAGTCAGATGTCTCTTCTGTCTTGTAGGACCCTACACATGCCTGGAGCGGAGGCTTGGACACACAGTTGAAAACCCACGACTTGAATACAGATCAAGGTGTGTCTGTCAATATAGCACCATTTTGAATTGTGTGCTTCCTGTTAATGTTAGATTAACAGTTTTTTATTTATTTTTTATAAATGGTCCATATTTTCTCCCTTGTGTAGACACAATAGTTGGGACACACGACGCCCCCATTCGCTGTGTGGAATACTGTCCAGAGGTCAACGTCATGGTAACAGGTAGCTGGGACAGGTCAGTCAGGCTGTGGGACCCCAGGACTCCGTGCAACGCTGGCACCTTCACACAGCCTGAAAAGGTAGAGCTGTCAAAACTCTGTATACGTATGAAACATTCCTGGGCAAGCTTTTTATATGTCGGCGCACATTGAATTTTCAATTCTGATTTGAAGTTCAAAATTGTATAGTCCATTTTTTTTGGTGGGAACGGACACACTTACTGGCATATGGCATTGAGAGAAATGAATTGTGATACACACATTTTTAAGACTGTTCTCTTATCTTTGTCTCTTTATCTAAGGTGTACACCCTCTCTGTGGCTGGAGACCGTCTGATAGTGGGGACAGCAGGGAGAAGGGTGTTGGTCTGGGACCTGAGGAATATGGGCTATGTCCAGCAGAGGAGAGAGTCCAGTCTGAAATACCAGACACGTGCCATCAGGGCCTTCCCCAACAAACAGGTAAACCTCTAGTCTAGTTCAGTACCAGACACGTGCCATCAGGGCCTTCCCCAACAAACAGGTCAACCTCTAGTCTAGCTCAGTACCAGACACAAGCCATCAGGGCCTTCCCCAACAAACAGGTAAACCTCTAGTCTAGCTCAGTGCTTCTCAAACCTCTCCTCAGGGAACCCCAGACCTTTCGTAATTTTGTAGTAGCTCTGAACTATCTCACCTGATTGACCTAGTGAGTGGCTTGGTGATTAGTTGACCCGGTTGAATCGGGTGTGTTGGCTGTAGAATAGTTAAATACATGGAACCGTTGGGGGTCCAGAGAACAGGTCGGAGAAGCGCTGGTCTAGCTGTGGAATAGTTAAATACATGGAACCGTTGGGGGTCCAGAGAACAGGTCGGAGAAGCGCTGGTCTAGCTGTGGAATAGTTAAATACATGGAACCGTTGGGGGTCCAGAGAACAGGTCGGAGAAGCGCTGGTCTAGCTGTGGAATAGTTAATACATGGAACCGTTGGGGTCCAGAGAAGAGGTCGGAGAAAGCGCTGGTCTAGCTGTGGAATAGTTAAATACACTGAACCGTTGGAGGTCCAGAGAACAGGTCGGAGAAGCGCTGGTCTAGCTGTGGAATAGTTAAATACATGGAACCGTTGGGGTCCAGAGAACAGGTCGGAGAAGCGCTGGTCTAGCTGTGGAATAGTTAAATACATGGAACCGTTGGAGGTCCAGAGAACAGGTCGGAGAAGCGCTGGTCTAGCTGTGGAATAGTTAAATACATGGAACCGTTGGGGGTCCAGAGAACAGGCCGGAGAAGCGCTGGTCTAGCTGGCTCTGTGTGTCTGTGGGAGGGGAAGAAGGGGATGTCATATCATAATACTGTATGTCACTTAGAAGATACTTTTATCAGTACGCTGCGATCTCATGTTTAGTAGGCCTATGTGATCCCCCCCTGCGGGACTTGAACCCATGACCTTGGCATTGCTAGTGCCACACTCTAATCAACTGAGCCACACACGACCACACACACACATCCTTTGTCTTGTCTTTCTGGTGAGTTAATGATGTCGGACATAGACCCCATGTTATGTTGTGTGTCTGTCTGAAGGGCTACGTCCTGAGCTCCATAGAAGGGCGTGTTGCCGTGGAGTACCTGGACCCCAGCCAAGAGGTGCAGAAGAAGAAGTACGCCTTCAAGTGCCACAGGCTGAAGGAGAACGGGATCGAACAGGTCTACCCTGTCAACGCCATCTCCTTCCACAGTGTTCACAACACCTTCGCCACAGGTCGGGGTACTTTTCTGTAGTAGGGTTAGAGTTGTCACCTAATGAAACTGATCGGGGTCATTCGTGACTAGGCTGCTTTTTGAAATGTTCAACTACAAGAAGATGTGTTGAACCAGAATATAAAACAAGGATCGATAAAGCTTGATTTTATTTCCTGCTGTGTTATGGCCTATTATCATATGACCTATATGATTAATATTGTCATGGTTACGCTCAAGGGAACACTGAATGATTAGCCTCCAGATTGTAATCTTGTGAACCCATACCTACTCTGTAGATAAATCTCCAGCTTTCCTCCGTTGACCTTGAAACCCCCCCCCCCCGTCTTGTCCTTCTCCCAGGTGGCTCAGACGGCTTTGTCAACATCTGGGACCCTTTCAACAAGAAGCGTCTGTGCCAGTTCCACCGTTACCCTAGCTCTATCGCCTCCCTGGCCTTCAGTAACGACGGCTCCACGCTGGCCATCGCCTCCTCCTACATGCAGGAGCAGGGAGACATCAGCCACCCCGAGGACACCATCTTCATCCGCCAGGTCACAGACGCGGAGACTAAGCCCAAGTGAAGTCGGTCAGTCTTCTGTCTGATTCACACAATAGGGCCCCCCGACCTGCTTGGGAACCGTGCTGGCTCAGGTCGTTTCTTTTTCACGTTGTCCTTTTTTCCCGGCACGGTTAGCTCCATCGTGTACTGCATGGTGGATCCAGGCCAGTACGGCTCGGCTTGGTTTGGCTCGGCCCTATAGTGTGAAGCAGGCCACTCCAGTCTGCATCCCAGTGGTCTCGTCTGGACTGCACCGACACAATGCCGCTCACACTGCTTCTTCTTTTTGGTACGTGTGAATGGCAGCATTGACAAGGAGCAGGCAGCTGGTGTCCATCTGACCGTCTGTATCTAGCTGTCTTTCTTTCTCTAGCTCTTCTCCACCGTTTTCAATATCCCATAGTTGACGACAAATGAGGACTTGAGAAAATGGCTACCCCCTAATCTGTTCATGTATTTGAATGTGTGGTTCCACAAGAGTCCTAAAGGAAGCTGAACTGGTTCAATCTATACAGTACAACCTTGACTCACTGGTACAGTATTTACCTTGCTGACCATCATTCATCAGCCTGTATTTGTTGGATTTCACGTTTTTTTTACTGTGCCCCGTTTTTATTAGTACTTAAAAATAAATGTGCTTTATTAACAAACTGTAAAAGGACTACACCCACATGTCTTCAGTTGTATCTAGCCCCACCCCCTCGCATAAACAGGTGACATTAGGTTCAGTTGTATCTAGCCCCACCCCCTCGCATAAACAGGTGAATTAGGTTCAGTTGTATCTAGCCCCACCCCCTCGCATAAACAGGTGAAATTAGGTTCAGTTGTATCTAGCCCCACCCCCTCGCATAAACTGGTGAAATTAGGTTCAGTTGTACTAGCCACCCTGCATAACTGGACTAAGTTCATTGTATCTAGCCCCACCCCCTCGCATAAACTGGTGAAATTAGGTTGTTGCAGCGTTCTTCTCAAACTAAACTAGACCAATTGAAAAGGAATAAAGTTTTTCTGTAATGACATGACTATTGATTTTGTCTAATAGTCTTTGTTTACGGATAAAGACAAAATCCAATTTGTTTGCGGTAATGCAGTTTCCAATAATCAATAAAGACATGATAATGACTCCAGAGAGCCTGTTCTAACAGGTTAATTGATGTGGCAGAGCGTTTTGTGGGTCCTTCTGTGATGAGATGCAGAACTATGAACCCACTGCTTCAGATGGGTAGTTTCTAAAGCAGTTGGCAAAGCATAAAGACGGGCAACTCTCAGGACCTGTTTCTCTCTTAAAGTGAATTACAGAAGCCCGTAACGAGGTTTCAGCCCTGTCCCCCTCCATATCATAACAGATGGGGCAGGCCATTCATTCATAGATTAAAAAGCTGAATTGAGCCAGAAGCTTTGTTTTTCAGCTGTCTGGTTTCTGTCAATGGTGAAGGAAGCAGTTGAGGGGAAATCTGAGGGACTTTGGTATTCTGTTTTCACTCTGCTCAATTGATTTGATTGTAAGAAGGGCCTGCTTTTTTTTTTTACCCAGTCTTTTATTTGGCTGCTTAAGGAAAGTGAAAAGAAGAGAGATTGTGTTCTGGCTTTCCCAGTGGAGTGTGACGGCTGAGTTGGTTACTGTCTCAACACTGGTCCTTGGAATGGTTTCTTCTCAAGTCAAGTTGACCTTACTACCCCACAAGTGGGAAATTCATTTGACACCCTTCACCTTTTTAAAAAAACAACAACATTTTCTAAAGATATTATTCTGGGTGTGTTTCCCCCTGAAGTCCATATACGTTCTGAAGGTGATCTGCTGGCCAGTTTTACAGTTTTTTTTGATTGCTTAAGCACGATTTTCAAAACAGGGCCCGTGTTTTCAAAACACTACACACAATTAGCACAACCACACACCCAATTAGCAAAACACTACAGATCCTTTGCAAAATTAAACACTCTTGTAAAAACTATACACTTCTTTTTAAAAACCACACTTTGTTACCATATGAAACACACACGTTTCACATTACTATACTCTGTTTGCACGAGTTACACTCTGCTGTGATAAACCTAAAACACTTTTAGCACTTCTACTTCCCTATGATTAGAGTAGGCTACTCTCAACAAAGTACAAATATAATGTAAATTCACCAAACACTACACCAATGTTGCAGACTGAAGAAACTCATTTATTTCTCAACACGCCCAAAATGTTGACATGGAGATTCATAATACTGTAACCAAACGTCACTTTACGTATTGTAAGTTCAAATTTAAAAAAAAAAAATAACTAGACATTGTCTCTTCGCCTAGCTGGATCTGGCCAGAGAATTTCATCAACATCGCAGGCAATGTTGTCATTAGCAAGACACCTTGGAAAGAAACGTCTTGAATGACGAATCCATCCTTGCATTGCTGCTACCTCCATCTGGTCACAGGCCTCCTCCATGGCTTGGATGAGGGGTACCTCAGCCTGGAGACGGAGATCATATACCTTCCACCGCCATGCAGAGAAAAACTCTTCTATAGGGTTGAGGAATGGAGAGTATGGTGGAAGATATAGGACGGTGAAATGTGGATGTTGCTGAAACCAGTTCTGAACCAGAGCAGAGCGGTGGAAAGACACATTGTCCCAGACAACAATGTATTGCATATGATCGATTTGATTTGCTGCTGTTATGTTGTGCAATTAGTCCAAGAATGTAAGTATGAGTGCTGTGTTGTAAGGGCCCATATGGGCATGGCGGTGGAGGACCCCATTCTGTGTAATGGCTGCACAGAGTGTTATATTACCCCCACGTTGCCCTGGGACATTGACTATAGCCCTGTGGCCAATGATGTTTCTTCCCCTCCTTCGTGTTCTCGTCAGGTTGAACCCAGCCTCATCTACGTAAATGAACTCATGCTGGATCTCCTCTCCATCCATTCGTAAAACTCTCTGAAAAACAGTGTCAGGCAAAATTGTGTAGTTCAGTGTAGATCTAGTATACATATTACAGTACAGTAAAAGATTATGAGACAGTATGCAAGATCACACTGCTAAAGTGAATACATACCTCTGCATAATCATGCCGCAGTCGTTTCACCCTTTCGGAATTGCGCTCGAAAGGCACTCGATAAATTTGCTTCATTTGAATATGTTTTTTTTTTAGGATGCGTGCCAGTGTTGATGTTGAGACCTGATGGATATCGTTGAAAATGGCGTGGTTATTGACAATGTTAGCTTGGAGCTGCTTGAGTGTTAGTAAACATGGTTTTGGCCAACAATGCTATATCTCCCTCTCTTGCTGTTCTGTGAACATAGGAGGCCTTCCCCCTTGTCGTCCCTGACCCTCAATCCTATGTAGAAAAAAAACAGTATACAATAGTACAGTAATTTCACAGGAAAAGGTAACAGAAGTGCTGATAGTGCATAGAATATAGTACTGTAAGCAGTTACTGAAACCGTGCAGATGTTTTTGATATGATGATATTTTTACAATACCTATTTTCCAGTCGAAATGTTCTCATCACACTTGCCACTGTATATCGGCTTAGATTTGGCTGTACTCGCAGTCCAGCCTCCCTCAGCGTCAGGCCGTGGTTGACAATGTGGTCAACCAGTGTTGCGCGGATCTCATTTGTCAGATTCGGTCCTCTTTGAGCACCTTCTTGTCTTCCTCTTCCTCCCCTTCCTCCTCCTCCTCCTCGTTCTCCTCGTCCTCCTCGTTCTCCTCGTCCTCCTCCTCGTTCTCCTCGTCCTCGTCTTACTCTTTCTCTGACTCTTTCCATTGTGCTTGAAGACCGATGAACTCACCTGCTGCTTTTTATAGTGCTTATACACCTGATTGGTGTGTCTACAATTAAGCAAACGAGTGTTTGCACACCTGATGACTGTGTTGAACCAATTGGTTGGACGGTGTGGTAATTTGACAGTCAGTGCTTTGGTATTGCAAGGACGTGACTTCATGATAGATTTTTGTGTGTAATGTATGTTAAGTGTGTTTAGTGTTTTGCAAATCACTGTGTGTAGAGTTTTGCAACAAGTGTAAGGTTGACAATGTGCTTATAGTTGTGCAAATATGGGCTGATGTTTTGCTTCTTGAGTGTAAGGTTTTGCTAATAGTGTACTACTTTTAATTTTAGTGTGTAAGCAATCCAAAAAAACTGTAAATCTCATCAACGTGTCCCCAGTCATTGTCATGCTGTTCTTTCTTACCGTCTGCTTTCTCACTGCTTTTGATTAACATTTCATTTTCATCCATCTTCTATTTTGTCTTCATTCTGACCCCTTTTTTTTAAGGTATTCTTCTTTTTGTGTTTTTATTCAAGCTAACTTTTGATGTAACATTTCTCTTTTCGTAAAGTAATTAACCATTTGCCAAATGTAGATGGAAAGCATTACAACAGTGGTATTTATCATTCTGTGGAATTCAGCTGCCATTGCATTGAATTAAAAACTGTTTTGAAATAAAACAATGGAAATATAAAATGTTGTTCTCCTGCTGTCATTAGTTCAATGTGTTTTCCCTCTAAAAGGCCAAGGTAAGGAGTGTTTAAAGGGAAGTGAGATGGGTACAAGGAGTGGAACGTTAGCTGAACAGACTGGTAACCAGGCTATGGTCACGGTGTTGAGGGAAAGCAAATGGACGATCCACTGGGATTGGTGTGGGGCCTGGTATTGGTGTGGGGCCTCCACTTGGCCTGGTATTGGTGTGGGGGCCTCCACTTGGCCTGGTATTGGTGTGGGGCCTCCACTTGGCCTGGTATTGGTGTGGGGCCTCCACTTGGCCTGGTATTGGTGTGGGGCCTCCACTTGGCCTGGTATTGGTGTGGGGCCTCCACTTGGCCTGGTATTGGTGTGGGGCCTCCACTTGGCCTGGTATTGGTGTGGGGCCTCCACTTGGCCTGGTATTGGTGTGGGGCCTCCACTTGGCCTGGTATTGGTGTGGGGCCTCCACTTAGCCTGGTATTGGTGTGGGGGCCTCCACTTGGCCTGGTGTTGGTGTGGGGCCTCCACTTAGCCTGGTATTGGTGTGGGGGCCTCCACTTGGCCTGGTGTTGGTGTGGGGCCTCCACTTGGCCTGGTGTTGGTGTGGGGCCTCCACTTGGCCTGGTATTGGTGTGGGAGGCCTGGTATTGGTGTGGGGGCCTCCACTTGGCCTGGTATTGGTGTGGGGCCTCCACTTGGCCTGGTATTGGTGTGGGGCCTCCACTTGGCCTGGTATTGGTGTGGGGCCTCCACTTGGCCTGGTATTGGTGTGGGGGCCTCCACTTGGCCTGGTATTGGTGTGGGGGCCTCCACTTGGCCTGGTATTGGTGTGGGGCCTCCACTTGGCCTGGGGGTTGGTGTGGGGCCTCCACTTGGCCTGGTATTGGTGTGGGGCCTCCACTTGGCCTGGTATTGGTGTGGGGCCTCCACTTGGCCTGGTATTGGTGTGGGGCCTCCACTTGGCCTGGTATTGTTGTGGGGCCTCCACTTGGCCTGGTATTGGTGTGGGGGCCTCCACTTGGCCTGGTATTGGTGTGGGGCCTCCACTTGGCCTGGTGTTGGTGTGGGGGCCTCCACTTGGCCTGGTATTGGTGTGGGGCCTCCACTTGGCCCTTGTCTCGGACCTGTGATGACAGACCTCAGGAGATGTCACTCCTACTATAGTAACTGTCCAAGAAGAGCCACTGCGCTGAAGGACCTTCTGTCAGCAAAGTACAATTTGCTTACTAGGACTGAGATGCAGTCGGTCAGGATAAGTTTCTGCTAATTGACTAAAATCTAATTATACTGCAAACAGTTAAGGGTGCTTTGCAGTTCT